CTATGGGCAATTTGAAATGAGAGATCTCTTTCTGCTTAAGACGAGCATAACAGAGCATTTCAGCGCACAGTACAGGTTTCTATAACTGATTCACAGATCTGAATCGTATTGCAGCAATGTGTCAGATTCAAGAGGGATCTATTCTGGTAAACACAGTAGCCAGGGAGAATGAGTACTCCTCACTATAGGATATATGATTAGTTACTGCAACACATTAGACATCCAATGACTCATTTCTAGACAGCGGACAGTTATCACGAAAGGCCTTTACACATTGTTCTGAAGTGTCATTAAGTATTCTTGTCTGATAATCTTTCTCTCTCTTTGCTTTTCCTCTCCTTTTCATTTTTTCCCTGCTGAGACATGCTGAGATTTGGTTTAGAATGCATTCTTCTCCCTGGTCACGCATGCACAGCATGCGCAAGCGGAAAGATTATGACCAAAAGGAAAGCACCCTGAAATGTTTATGATAACAATTCAGCAAGCAAAAGCTGTACAGTTGTGGCAATTTTGTGCATTTTCTCTGCCCCCTCTCCCCATCCACGGTGATAGAAAAACAAAACATTTCCTGTCTTCCCACAAAAGATATTTAATTTTAGATTTTAAAACCAATTAGAGAAAAGAGAACAATGTCAATAGCTAGTCAAGGTCAACTCTGTGCTCTGTGCTGGAGCTCAGCTGTAGCCTTCCTTGATTACAGAGGCAATCGGGTGCAGCAACAGGGGTTTATAGGACCTTGATGAACATACAGCAGAGGACAATGATGCCACTTGGCCTATATAGTCAACTACTAATTCCTTTAATGTGTTGCATATTTAGGAAGCTTCATTCATGTATTTTAACTGTATTTATCTGATCAACTTAAGCAGAGTGTCCCCCAAATCTTTCCTTGCCTCCTTAAACATAAAATCTTTACTAATGGCTTTTAGAATAAAAATCCTGGTTTTCACCCTGACAAGCAGTCCAAACTAGCACGGATATATTCCAAATAGCTAATTCCTGCTCCTCTACATTTTGTGTGTGAAGGCAGCACTGCTGAAAGAACAGAAAAATAGTCTTGCTATATCAACATAATACATGAGCATTCTTTGAAATGTCTGTATTTATAAAAGTGATAGCTATTGGTAACAGAAAGTCACTTTCATAGTACTCTCCTCTGCAAGTCTCTGATCACTACAAGCTGGGACATTACACCTGAGCAAGTATCGCTGTATGTTTGCCCTGTTCTAACACTGCTCCCTGCTGCCACCTGCTATTGCCCTCTATTGGAGATGTGAGGCTTGATAAACCTTTCAACTAGCTCATTACAGTTGTTATTCTCCTCACTCTACCTGCACATAAGACGACTGAATTAGCAAGTTAGAGAAGGACAAAATAAATACTAAGCGTGCAATCTATCCCATTCACTCACATTCTTAAGTACCTGTCAAATCCGAGCATGGATTCCCATTACATTATAACTGAAAAATTAAGCATTAAGCATCCAAAATTAAGTGGACAAAACTTCCTCAGGAGAACTGTTCCATCTGATATCCCCATGAAGACGAACATTAGTTTCAGTTGTGTTATTTTTTTATTTTCAAGAAAATCATATAGCTTTTAACATTAGTTCAAACCTTTAAAGGTGCAATTTGGCCACCAGGCATTCCAGGGTGGGGATCAGAAACACTATGGACAGACTGTCATTCAGCAAACTGGGCGAGTCTGTTCCATACACGGAGACATAAAGAGTTAAATAGGGAGACAGCCAATCTTCTTCAGTCCGCCACACTATTCTAATGACATCCTATAAGCCAACTTTGGATGATTTAACTGCTCATTTTTTATTGTTTGAATTAATATAGTTTCAGTGGAAACTTCAGGAAAACTTGGTACTAGATTCAGGTTCTAGCTGTGATGACCAATTTATTGAGTCCTTGCAGGAGCTCGCAATGAGGAAGGTTTTCCACTTCACGCCTGTGCCTAACATAAAGCACACACTTAAATCCCAGACAAGTAAATGTAAATAAAGCTAAATGGACACTTAAGATGAAGTCAGTTTGGTGCATGTCTGTTTTTTTCCTACCCACAAAGAGTGTAGGGCGACACTGAGGGGTTAAAGAGATCAAATGCTGCCACTTTAAATTCAGATTTTGGATCCTGAGCAGATGAGAGTAACATAAGAAAGAAAAGTTTTGAACTAACCTGATAATAAGCCCTTCAGCTCATTCATAAATTAAACTCAATTCAGTATAGATTACATTTCAAAGAATTATACTCCCAGCTCTCACAGATTTTTAAATGCCCAGTTGCCTTATGTCATTTTGAAAATCTGACTCTACAAAGTTAAAAATGCCTTTGTGAGTTAACAGATTCCTCTAAGATGAGGCACTAGTCCCAGACACTCATTTATCAGTGTCTACATGAAAACTTCCTTCAGCTTCATTTTGCTGTCCTAACAAAACAGGAGGTTTTTTCCCTCCCCTGCTTGTTGGACAAAAGTGAGATATTTTGAACCTATGCTTAGTCACTTTTTTGCTCTTCTAGTTTTTATTTACAGCTCTGGAAAGCAAATGTATTAACCAATACAAACTGAAAAAAAAAAGTTAAATGAGGAAGTGTTACCAGAGAGAGCATTGCAAGCTGCTTTTTGGAAGGCACATTCAAAAGGATATGGCTTTACCACCTTCCACTGCCAGAAGTGATTGGGGTACCATTCTCAAATATCTTAGCAAAATTAGGCCACCTATGAAGGCTTTGGGTAAATGCTATTCACCAACCTTTTACTGACTGAGTAAAAATCATCATCCCAGAAGCACCGAATCTGATGAAATCTCAGGCCTATAGGCCTTATCATTTATTTTCTTAAACTAAAGACGACGACTCTACAGAGAAACAGTCCTTTAACAACAGTAGCTTTATCTCAGCAGCACCCCTGACAGTACAATTTTTACTATCTGTAATGAAATACACAGCACTCATATTCTCATAAGCCTATACAAAATAAAATCCAAGTCTCCCTGCAGCTCTCTTCAGAAAAAGGGAAGAGCCTCACCCAGAAGGCAACTTCAAACCTGCCTCTTTGCTAGACAGGTGGGAGGTCACTGCCATTTTGTCATTAGAGTTGTAGAGATTATAAAAAGGAGTGGGAATTAGCAAAATCAGTTCATTTATCAGGATGGAAGTTGATAGTTTTTTGGTTCAGGTTTTAGAAGCTCCCAACACATATCATTCCCTCTCCTCCATTAACTTTACTTTTGCTCACAAACACAGTCTAAATAAAGGAATTAATTTCTCATTTAGAAGTTGTAGCGGACTTGTTTTTTAATTTTTACTGTAATTTTTAAGTGGTGATACTGCATCACCTCTCCTTCAAGAGGGAATTTGGACAAGGGTGGGCAAACAGAAGGAATGAATATCCTCATGTACATCCACTTTGGACACCTGAGTGCTGGGAACTGCAACCACACACGGAGGGAGTCTGTCTGTCAGAGCCTCCATTGCCAGTGCTGGAACGTTCTGGGTCAAAAATCAAAATAATGCCTTACTTGGTGTTTCTCGACCTGCAGATCTTCCACAGAAAAGCTCTTATGAAGCAGCCACCCTTTTTATACCTAGGGAAAGCTAAAGCATGCAGCAAGGATGTGATTTGCTGACTGTAATGCAGTTGGAAAGCGGGAGAGTCAGGAAGCATGGCCATCACACCACACCTTCACCACGTGCAGCCCAGCGAAAGACATTGTTTACTGCTCAGGCACAGTCAGAGAAATAAAATATGACTAGCAGATGGTAAGAGTGGCACACAGCATGCTGTCTGATCACATAAGCCTGCAAGAAGTTCAATAGAGCTGCTTGAGCAGCCAGGCTGGGCTGGAGGCAAGTGATAGAGTGTGCCCTGATGCCTGAAAACAGTCCTGGTTTTAATACTGCAGCGGTGGCATAAAACACTGTCCTTCTTAATGACCCAGTGAAACCCACCTAAAAGATATTCTCTGAATTAGGGAAGTGAGTTAGCCATGTTTCTAGTGTTAGGTTGAACTCTAAAGAGGTATCATAAAAGTTAATGTCACAGTAGCTCTTATACAATAGATATTGATTGTACTAATTTCAGGCCTTCCAGAGAGGACTAATGTTTAACATTTAACCAGTGGAAAATTATATTTTATATCTCATTTACAGCTGAATCATTAGAACCAGAAAAATAGACTGGGAGTGGGAGGAGATTTGACAAATGTCCATGTATCAGACAGCCTAAATTGTCTTTGCTGAATGTGAACAATATTCTTCAGCTGTTTTGGAGACGGATGCCATAGAAAGATGACAGAAATTACTGTGGGTAGGAAGCTAGAAGGTTTTGTGGCTTTTTTTGTTTGTTTTGTGGCTTTTTTTTTTTTTTAACCAAAATTGAATCTTGCAAGTACTACTTCTATCCCATTCCTTGTGTAAAGTAAATCACTTTTTATACCCCATACAGTGCTGTAATCTATGTAAACAGCTGTCAGGGTATTTCTAGGAGAGAGTAATTTTGTTCATTTCATAAAACTCTGATCAGAACAATATGTGAGCAACAAAACAACAATATATAAAGGCTCAAGCATCCATTTTAGCTTTATGCAGCCATTTTGGAGCCTGAAGGTTTGTTTTGGCTTTGCTGTTCACCACCTAAGTACCTCCAAAACACATTCATACTGCCAGCATCCACCAGCAGCAGATTATCTCGGGACTCTGTCATATATGGGCAAATTTCTGTCCACAAGGAAAGAAGTTGTGCAGCTGTACTAGCACTAACAACCACAAAGATATTGTAAACACGAAGACCAGCCAGGTCATCAGCACTGAGACACCTGTCCTGAATTCATAAAACCTACTGTCTAGCCTCATAGTTTCATGACTTTCAAATAGAATGAGAAACTAAACATATAATAAACAAAATATTTGCAGATGTTCTGTCTGGTAAACCTGCACATTACAGAAGGCTGCAGGGTACAGAAATTTCATATTTTAGAAATCTCATGGCTTACTATTGCAGGCTGACTCCAAATTGTTGTGTAGGTAGAGGTGGCCGTGGTGGAGGAACCTTAACCACAGGTGGCAGTTTTCCCTTCTGTTTCCCCCGAAGATTTTCATCATGTCTGCAAAAATCAAGAAATCATTGATTTTCTCTGTGCCACAGCTGACAGAATATATATATTAACAGCTACCAGTATTGCTCATTATGCTGATCTCCTGACAATAGCATATATGCTGCAGGTCTTACAGAACTTACATTTAATTTAAGCATTAGGGAAATTTTTAAGTAGTATTTGCGGTAAAATACTTAAGCAAGACATAGAAGAGCTCTTTTGCTTCAGCCAATGGAGCATAGTAATAAACGTATCAAAAAAAAGGAACACACTATAATTTAGCAGCAAAATTCAAACCTATTTGCTACTCAAAATATAACTCCCCTTTCTTTGGCAGCCATGCAATCCAATTTATAACCTTAGAGCAGTAAGATATTTTCTGTTATTCTGTATTTACACAAAAGGTGTGTAAAAACCCACTAGGCATCAGTAACAGTTATAATCAAAGCTTCCAGGTACTTTCATTCAGCAGTGACATAAAATCACTTCCTGTCAGTACATCAAAGCATTTCCATGTAAAGTGCTGTGTCGAAAAGACTGTTATTGATCCTAATACTGGCACTTGACAATTCCAGCCCTATGCATTTTTTTTTCTTTTCCTCTCCCACCCCTTCTCCAATACTCCTCCCTAACACATATACATGCACAATATAAAAGTAACAGATCCACTAACAATACAGGTATCCATAAAGTTTAACATCCAATCAATGCTTTGCTGATGGGGAATGCTCTTAGCAAGGAAGTAATTTAATCCGTTACAATATGCAAGCAAAGAGGTCAGGATTACGTTTTCGCCCATGAACATTACATGACGCTCGTAAGCAGTAATGACATGGATTGGTTTTTGCTACCACTCACACAGAAGCAGCAATTATACTAAGAAAAAGCTCCACAACTGAGATGGAGATGTTCCAAAACTGTAAAACACTATTCAGCATTCTCTTCTCTCAACACCTGACGCACTTCAGCACGTCTTTGATGGCAATGCATCTTTCGAATTAAATCCAACCAAGCACAAACAGGTAAATTAGAGTTTTAATCAATGAAGAAATAGGATTAGATTCTGCTTGGAATACAGTGAACAGGGTGCAACTCTACCTGAGAAAAGGTGAGACAATGTATTTTAAACTTGCCACATACCGGATGACTTCTTGAGGGATATTTAGCTGGTCATATTTGAGATGTTCTCTCAGGTCACTTAAATAATTCAAGTAGGTGATTTTTTTCCCAAATTTATGGCTAGAAAAATCACAAAGAAGTATAAAAATCAGCATGGGAGGAACATTTATGAAGGGTTTAGTTTCTATTACAAAAATGTAAGTGCTGGTGCAACTCAAAATTAGACTGTAATTGAAGCAGCAGGAGACGTAAGATGTATTTCATTTCATATGATCAAACATATACAGTGCATGCCTGAGAGTCTGATTTGAATAAAAATAACTGACTTCCATCTGAATGTTTTGTGATTTGCATAGATATGAAAAACACTGCTTTAAAAGGCACCGAAAAACAGGTTTCACACAGCATTGGAAAGCTCACTAAAAGAACTGTTAACTTTGGAAAAAATGTTACACAGCCAACAGAACATGTTTGCGTTATCCAGGTATTACTCCTAGCCAAGGGACCAAAATAATAGGGCTGTAGGCACAAATTATAAAGTAGTAAGTGACAGAGGAGATTTTCAAAGTGTGGACAGTGTACACCCTTGAAGTGTTGGGCCATCAGCCTATTTTGAAAAGAGCTGGATACCTCCTAGGAAACATCTTGAATAATATGTTTTTTCTATGAGTTGTACAAAACAGACTTCCAAATTTGAAGCACCAAGTATCACTGGTTAGGTCTTGAGTTTCAGACAGTACACACTACTTCCCAGGCTGAGGTGTTCAAACCAGGTTCAGGGAAAATATAAAATTACTACAGCAGAAAATATCTATCCTGTAATGAAGTGTCAAGCAAAACAATAGGTGTTTATGATAAAAAGTGTACTTTGCTGCAACTTTGATAGTAAAACTAGAGAAAAATTCTCTCACATTAATTAATTTATCCCTGGATTGTCAAATACACATACACACACTCCCTCTAGTGGGAGATGGTAGAAATACAAGTCACTTTCAGCATTTTTAGAAGCTTTTTGAAGCAATTTTGGAACACTGACAGGTATCAGTCTGTGCAATTTTGGAGCTCTTCAATGTGCCTTTTATCCAAAACAGCCTGCGATTTCAACATCTTACCTAAGCCACAGGCTAGCACAGAACCCTTGGTAACTAATCACCTCAGTTAATACAGGACATGTTACAGAACATACAATTTGTAACTAAATTGTGGGCAATTAGGAATTATTGCTGTTCCTTAAAAATGTCACGTCACCACCACCGTCTAAGTGTATATTATTTTGATAACAAGTGGGTGGCTTCTGCTAGCTTACACATAGAAATGTGCTGCTCTTACAATTTTTTTGCAGTTTGAAGAAAATACATTTGACTTAACACATTACCTTCTTGCTCATCTCTTCTGGGACTGGAAAGGAGATCAATCAACTTCCAGTGCTTGAAAAATGTCAATTATTTACATTTTCTTTAATACTTTCAAATACAAGTATGCTAAAATACTTATTACTTTTGTTATTCACTCTAATAATTCTATCATTTGTCCAGTTCTCAGCAAACACATTGTTCATGTAAATGTACTTAGGCTGTGTACTAACAGGTACCAAATGTACTAACAGACCTCTGAAAAATAAATCCATGTTTCTTGACAATGAGATTTATTCTACATCGGCTATTTTTATTGGAAGCACTATCTACAAATAAATTTGGGCTATAATTTAGCAAAGTTTCGAAACAGAATTTCCAGAGGATTTTTCTCCCTTCTTTTTGTGAACTTTGGTTTAATATTGACACTTAAATAAAAGCATGATCTGCTAATACAAGATTATTCTAAACTGGAAGGAAAAGGTACTGTGAACAAATTTTAAGTCGTACTATTCTAGTAAATTAACAATATTAATAAGTTTTCGTTTTCAGCGAGAGTATAATTTAGGCAAATTGTACAGGGATACTTCCACACTTCAGTTTTAAAACGATAACCTTACATTTTCCCTTACTTGACAAATTGGAACTTGAGTCAACCCAAAGCACAAATGCATGTGAGAATTTGGCAGCTAAACCATTTTAAGGAGTAGAGAGGGTTTTTTTCCTAGCTTCAGCTAATTCCTGCCTTCTGGCTTATGGACCTTTTCAGAGTTTACTCATACTTTCAATTATTTTGCCAGTCCCAGCATACATATAGCTTTGTTCGTGTTGATCACATTTTAACAACAGAGAGTGGAGTGTTACTAAATTAGACTCAAAAGTACCCAGGTAGACAGTGGTGAAAGTGGACTACATACAGGAACAGGCAATCCTGATGAAAGCAGTGTCAAGATGATGATGCATCTAAACTGACAAGCCCCGTCTTGAATTTTCTATGTTAGATATGAATGCTTAAGCTTATCAGGGTCACCCATTTTCACATTCAAAGTAAACAAGGATTTAATTGCCAGTGTATCACACTGTTCCAAGGAAAAAAAGTATTCATTATATTTACAAAGACATAGTAAGATGTAAGGAAAATGAGTATTTGGAATAGGTACCTGTAAACTTTTCTGTAAGAATTAGCAACCAATTATTACTCTAAGTCAAATAGTTCAGCTGTTGTCCAGCTGTGGCTCCACTGAGTGCATTAACATGCAGAGACTGAAAACCCTTGGTGTTCCAAAACCACTTGCCTGAAGCTATCTCAACGGAGCTCTGAGCTGCCTCTGAGAAAGAAGTTGTTTTCACTTGAGTGTTGTAATGTCCATCAAGAGTTTTTCTGGTTTTGTTTTGTTTTTTTTGGGGGTTTTGTTTTGTTTTTTCCTAGAAAGCTCTCCATACCTATCCTACAGCAAATCAGGAACAAAAAGAAAATCCAGCCCCATTCTTGAGGCACCATCAGCTACTGGACATCCTGCTTGTCACCCTTTTCTCATCATTGCTTTATGTCCTGGATCTCTGGCATTTATTTTACTGCCAGTTAAAATAAAGATCTCTAGTTAGTCTTCTTGTTTCAAGAACTGCATATTCTGTAATGATTTTTAGCTGTAATTACTTTTTTATTTTCACATGCTTCTTACATGTTCTGATCTGCCTAGAAGTTAAACTTCCCCTTTCAAATTAATTAGCTTTTTACCAGTCAGAAATTTAATCAATTGCAAGTTTCTGTAATGGACATTTTTAGTTGGCTCATTATGGCTTCTCAAGATAAGCTGGTTTTGTTCTCCAGCCCTGAGGACATTCATAATATAATCTACAAAATGTTAGAATTACTTTGAAAGTGACCAAAGTTCAGGAGCAGAAACTAAGCAAGCCCAGCCATCCTAGCACTCAGCAATACCTGCCCTTTGTTGCCGGTTCCTTATAGATAGCATCAGTTTTTAACCATGCAAAGGAAAAGAATGCACCAGTAGAATACATCCACCTTCACCATTATACCCTCCACCTCAAATTCTTATGGGCACTTCAGGGCTTATCCATTAACTCTGAACACACAAGCAGTATCATTCCTATTCATCTCAGCACTTGAGATCAGACTGAAGGTTAACCATTCATTATCCCCTTTACCGTACCACCTAGTAACTCCAGTCACGGACCCAGTTCTATTGTGCTAAATGCTGTCAAACAGGACAAAAAAGTCATTCATGGTCCACAGAATAACTATGTTTTAAAGTGATATTTACTTTAACGTACCAGTAAAACTACTATGAATTCAGCCTCCCTTTTCTTAGAAAGAACTCTACCCCATTATTCATACCCAAGCTTAAGCTCACCTTACTCATTAGTTCAAAACAGTTTAAATGAGTATTGTGCGGTTACCTGACATATTTTACCTCAGGCCTTTTTAAAAGCAATTTATTACAGAACAAACCATCCTTAAACTAAGCAGGAAAATGTGTTGAATAAACTGTCAAGTACCTTATAAGAGGTTTAAAGATATTCCACAGAATTTTTATGAAGTTAGTTGGATGTACAACATAGAGTGCTTTAAGGTTTTTCTTATACCTAGGAAAAGAAAATGAAATTGTTAGAAGACTGTTGAATATCATAGATGGTAGAACTGAATAGCTACAACTGAATGGGAAGTATTATTACAGGAACATTATACAGCATTCTTTTCAAATACATTAAAAAGACCTAATTCAGAAGAAATGGAATGTAAAATGAAAAATCACCCCAATTTTAAAAAAATAGTCAGTTTTGACAATACAATAGCAGGCCAAGATAATGCTATTACATTCCTAACCAATGTCTGCTGTCTCATATATTTAGTATCAGGGGGACAGAAGGGAAATTAGCCAACTTGAAAAAAATACCGAGAAGAGAACAGAGTCTATAAAAAAATCTGTTCCCAAAAAATTACTTTCCTTCATCTCCCTTTATTTTCTGCTTACAGGAGTTTCACACTGGAGAAAATTTCTAAATTTTCAGATGTAAAATTTATACTTAACCTTATTTTTACCACTACTTTTGTCTTCTTTTGGTAGTAATTAGTAAAGGTGAAGCCAACTGCACACTGTTTTATACTGGATGGTCCCCTTTGTATGAAACAAAAGCCCCTCTCTATTATAGCTTTGCTTGATTCTAGTGTCATATCATGATACATAAATAATAGATTCTAGTAGACTGAAACTGAAATGGGAACCAGGCTGCACAAAAGGACTCTGCTCTTATTGAATGTTATTGCAAAATGAAATTGAGAAACACATAATGAGATATCCTGCATTTATATATAAATTGTTGCTTATTACTTTGCCAAGTTTGCTTGCTAGTAGGGAACGCCCCTCCCAAGTGTTCTCCACTCAGTATTAGAAAACAATGATGGTAGAAGGAAAAAAAAAAAAAAAAAAAAGAGATGTGAACTCCTAAGAAAAATCTTCTTGTAACAGGTTATGGTAAGAGGGGAGAAAAGGGAAGAATTCATCAATTACAACAGTTTTTCCTTTTGGGTTTTAATTGGGTCCATACATCTTTGAATGAGAAAGGCATTGTTTTCACAAAGCTACTATCATACACGAGCAAACAACTATTCCTGTGCAACTGGCACCACTGTGGATAAGAATTCAAAATTAACAATAAAAGTTAACGAGCAAAACCCCTGAGTTGCTTTACTGAAGTTTCCATTTTAAATTTCTTTTGTACCTTGAAGCAATGGGCATACGCCATTGCTTCTGTGGAAGCTTACATACTTGGTAGTTTCCTAGATTACAATTAAATGCCCAAAAGACTTTACTGAGCCTCTACTCTAAACCTTCAAAGCAAGATCTATTCTTTTGAAACTATTCCTGTTGAACATGCGCTTTTATGATGGTAGCTAATTAATATCATCCTTTGTACTCTCTTCTGTCCTCCCTTTCTTCTGACCCCAAAACACACACACACAGAGGTCTGAAAGGTGCTGTTGTTTCCCCCTCCCCCCCCCCCCCCCCCCCCTTCTGGTTAGTACAGCCAAACATACATGTTGGGCTGTGAATATTGCTTTGAGCTTCTCAATGAAAGTATGCTAAGAAGTTCCAACTGTGAACCAAAGGATGGGTGTATGGTTTAGCCCAGCTACCTGGGCTTCTCTGTCCCTCTCTGGTTCCCCTGTTCTCTGAGTCAGGGTGGGGGGAATTGAGAGAACAGATTTTTGGCATAAATGACAGTCACAGTGTGCGCTCATAGGCATGACAAAAGGCAACAAAGAAGATATTTCTCTTGTACTGCCTCTCTCCATACAGTAACTATAAATTTAGCTTGGGATTCTCCCAGAAGGAAAATAGTATGATGCTTCATTTTCAGGAATTGTCAGGGCACAGCAAAAAATGGTACTGTAGTCAAAATCTCTCATCAAAGACAAAATATAAGAGATCCTTTGCATTTCTTTTCCCTTACCCAGTTCCAGAAAGAACATATACATTATACTAACCACATTCAGAAAGCTACTAGCAAAACTAAGCTTTTTCGGTCTGTTGCTGAGTGGAGAGCAGTATCTCACGAAAGCAGTTAGAGGCTTCACATGACAGCTTCCCACCAGTGCTCAGATGGCTGCTCTGAGCAACCTCATCTTCTTGCTTAGTGCGGTTTAGAGTTTCAGGAGGTTATTGGGTGAGATTCAAAAGAGTCCGAGCTCTGGCACTAGATGACCAACAGGTTTTGTGCACATCTCAACTTAAATTTTCAAAGTAGGGTTGGGTATTTCACTGGGACTGCCCCCAGTATAGTCTAGAAACACCCAATAATCTTTTTAACAGCATATATTTTTGAGATTTGCTTCTTGTTCCAGCTCCCAAATTGAAAAAAATCAGACCTGTATGATGCATCCCCCCAACACACACACACACACACACGTATACACTCTCACTCAGGAAAGAGCTGTATTTTTGCTTTCAGTAATGTTGCCCTCTTGATCTCAACTTACAAACAAGTTAACTCGTTTCAATAGGAACTTTCTATTTCATTGGTGTGTACTTCCAGGGAATATCAGAACTTTAATTTCCACTATTAAGATTCTATACACCCAGGAGCTTTGGCCTCGACTACACCCTAACCAACTAAAACATGAAGTCATGACCACAGGCATTGTTACTCCAAAGGTCAGGCATATACAAGCACAGCAGTCCTTTCAGGGCTTTACATATGACAACCAATGAATGCTGCAAGGTCTGTGAGATACAGACTGTTAAAAACTAATCTTTCCCTTTTTATACACAACCTAGCCTTGGGATGATCAAAGGCTCAAATACAACTGTAAGATGATCAAGAACGATGACCAGTAAGGTGTCACAAGTATCTTGTTAAACAGTGCACAGAAAAGACAATGGTTCTTTGGTGTGTTGCCAAGACTTTTCATACCTTTGGATAACCACTGCAGCACCCAGGCCGTTCCTTGGTACTGCACAGGAGACACGTACAAGAGACCCAACAGCACCAATATCATTATAAGAATTTGCACTGGCAAAATGAACTCAGTTAGCTGTGGGTGGATCAGGGAAGATCTGTTTCCTTCATGGAGGTTAATTACAGATCTTATACAGCCAAAAGAGTAAACCAAATATTTTGGAGACATACTTCCTGTCAAATTCTTTGTAGGCTGTTTGTAACCATTTCAGAGATGGTTTATTCAGACTCTTCAGGCCATAGTGAAAGTAGACAACCGTATAATCATTCTCTACATATTGGTCCAAAGTATACTTTAAGTACCTGAGGAGAAAGACAACATTTTAGTTTTAAGACAGTTTACTAGATGAGATTTTTAAAACAGTAACTGAGAATGAAAATGTTCTATTTTTGCACAGAACACTAGTGACTGCAAATTTACATTTGCTTCCATATATTTAACAAGCTCATCTTGCTCTAGTAGAAGTTGTCAATAATTCTACATCACTGCAAAGCCTGAAATTTGAAGAATGTATTTAGTTACAAAAACTATGGTACTTGTGCATCACTAAAAGATGAAGACAGTATGAGACTGCATTTCCCAAGGAATTGTTAAAAAGACGCATTTTAACTGACAGCAATTTTTGTTTTCTTCTGGTCTTTGTAAATTCCTTCTTTTTAGACAAGCAAACAATGTCATTTTGACTTTTCAAAATAATAAAGAATAAATCCTGGAGTTTCCTCTCAATTTAAAACCTTTTACATTTTTGAAAAATCCATTAGCCCTAATTACTGCCAATTACAACTTGTTACTGTAAACTGTTTTCTTGAATATATTTGCCTTTCCCTTGTTTGTATCATGGGGACTGCATTCATAGATCACTTCCCTTAAAACTAATTTAAAGAACTACACTATTTATCCCATCTTGAAATAATACTAGATGTTTTATAAGCAGATTTCTGGGTGTTCATTCTTTTATGGTACAGTTTATGATGCTTTTCTCTTCCTTTTCTCCTACAATTGAGATGACTCTGTGGCCTATTACACAGCTCAATGATTCAAATAAAGCAGTGATGGAGGAGTACAATCTGGCCTCATGCCTTGCTGTGTCAGATTTCAACTTTCTCATGTCATTCTCAATGCTACCTTATTATTCTGCAGCAGAGCCCCAGCTATTGCTCTTAATTGTATGTAAGCAATTTTCATTCAATAGAAAATAGATAGTTCCATGTGCCATTTATTAGGCTGTGGATATCTGCAAGTATCAAGGCCACTTTGACTAGCCTCCTTTGCATGGAAAAGCCTCTAACTTCTCTGTACTCTGTACACTCTAACACACTGTACTCCCACAGTCCCATTTTTCTGCTTATTCCCTCAGCATACTGTCTATTTTAGACCGTAAATAGCCTGGGGCAAGGACTGCCACTGCAATTAATATAATGCAGTTTTGATCCCTGACATTAATGGTATTTTAATGGAACAAGTACTAATATCAATCATTCAATACTTTTTTAAAAAGTGTTTGAAATGAAAATATATCTAAACATTCTTACAGAGTGTCTCATGTTTTATTTTACAGCATGTAAATTCCTTGGCACATTGCATCCAGAAAGCCTGTACTTCTAAAAATAATTGAGACAGTTTTGTGGTCATAAAATAACCAGTATTTCTGTACAGTCAATTACTTGTTCCAAGGCTGTAACAGAATTGCAGGGACATTACAAAAGCTTTACCAAATCAATTCTTTAAGTGATTTTATCACAAAATACCTACCAATCTGGCCTACTTTGCAGCTTTTCCTCAGAATTCAACATCAAAAGCAGATCACTTGATAGTTATATTGCTAGCTTCATGTTCAGACACCTGTCTTCAGTTCTCCCTTAGCACAGAGTCCAAGTGAATTTGATGTTGGCTCAGATAGAGGAAAACATATAAGTGTTCAAATCCAGAATGGTCTAAGGGCTGGCAACCCTAGTTTCACCAAGGCGTCTCCTCACAGAACTGAGGAAGGGTTCTAAGTTCTGCTGGCAATGTGGTTTGTCACACTCCTTTCTTTGGCATTTCCTATTAATCACTGCAGGTAGCAACTCCAGGTGAGGAGCTGACTGGTGTGGCTCTTCCTCCTAGGAGATAACACTCTTTCTATGCTACCCAGGAAGCTTTGGCTTAAGGCTGTGGAAATACCCTAGCTGTGAAGAGCACAGAAATGAAACAACGTGGTCTCAAACACATTTCTTAAGTAACCTGTTTTTTAATCCCTCTCTGTGTCTGAAAAGTTGAGATAACTGCACTTCTGTCCTTTCCAATGGTGGTGGGTACTGATGGTTGAAAGGTGCTCAAACATTTTGGCAATGGAGGCTGTACAAGAACTCCAAATAGGTTTAAAATGCTTAATAAGGACAGGACACTCACAGCAGAACAGATGTCCTTGTAGTGACAAACCATAAGGCAGAAACACATCCCGATACCTTGCTACAGCACGTTTATAAGGAAGAATGTTGTGATTTTACATATTCAGAGCCTCTTTTAACACAAGACCCCAAACATTACAAAGTGAGATACACATAAAAAAGTTAAGAATAATATACTCACATAATGCATATATTTTTATAAAAGAGGAAAACCACTAAGATGTAAATAACTAAACAACGCTCTTGCTGAATGATTTAGGAGATAAAGCATAGCAAATAAAGGCAAACATTGCTGTTCATGAGAACATATATATGGAGCACTAAAATACCAGAATTTCCCTTTCATTGGTCCTCATCATAAATTAAAATTTTTAAATATGATCAGAATTCATTAATAAAAGCAAGACAAGTTAATTTCAGTACACAGTGAATTGCTGCATCTAGTCAAGATTCCAGGTGAAATAACTCTGGCAGTTTCATCCACATCTTATTCACTTAATATTGATACTAGCAGGTCTTACATCCTCCTTTCATTTCACTCTTTGCCTCCTGCTTCTCCTCTCTGAAAACTCATTCACCTGAAAACAAACTAATAGAAGTTCACATACTAAATGTAAAGTAGTCCATGTAGGAGACAGAGAGAAACTTACTCCAGCAATCTGGTGTGATTGAGCTGATGGGAGGGGGGCATACGGCAGCAACTGAAAGTAATCACCTTCCTTCCAGAATTGTCATCACCTAGTGAACAAAACAGTTAGTAAAGACAATGCTCATTTACTTATGCAATGAGACCTCAGTGACCTGAAGGAATGGCTTTTATCTTCTGATATTTGGGGCTACCTCTATCTCCCATCATTACTCAAAACATACTGCGAAGCTTCACTGTCAAATCACGTTGCCTACAGAAAGCAATTTGGCCACCGCTGCAGTGAAATGCAGCAGCTGCCGGGCAAACGATGAAGCTAAGCTGGGAAAGTCGTATTCAGGGGTGGTTGGTAGTGCTCAGCTCCTGACAGGGAACACTTGAGTCCTCCTGCAGCATTCAGTCATAGAAGACAGGCCTGCTTTCCCTAGTAGTCTTTGAATTGACTTATCAAACTCTTTATGCTTTATTTCTGGAATTTATCAGAACACTGCTCTGCCTACAAGCACTTTGGGTATCTATTTTGTCACACATCTCAGTCAGATTTTAACCACCTTAAGCTTTCTTAGATACACCTTTCCAGAAGCACTGCTACGTTCAGATCACGTTTAAAACACAACAAGCAAGGCATACAAGTATGCTTTTCATAACCTGCAGATCCCTAAGTGTCCATCCCTCAGTTCCTCCAGCAAGGTATACATTGCTGCACTCAAGTTCATTTACTCTGACTCATGACAGCTTCACCCACACTGTCTGTAAAGACAAGGTTAGTGCTCATGCCATGCCCACCTCACACCGAAGTTCCTCTATCTGGGAAGTCAGGTGCTGAGGCTGTCATGCTTGTACTAAAGGTAACTCAGCACTGAAGACTGTGAGGTGTGAGGATGTTAACATACATCTACATGAGAGATACTATTCCTTTTAAAGCAACACAGAAACATCCCAGAAAATGTTTAGACTGAATTCATATTTGAGATGTTCAAATTACTTGATCGAACAAACAGAACACTTTCCAGATTTGCAAGCACACATTTCCCATGAAAACCCACCACTGATAGTAACACGCTTCCCTTCATTCAACTCAGGAAAAGGTGGCTGTCCTTACCTGACAGACTCCACACTTAAGAAAAAAAAACCCTGTATTTGCTTTGTCCAGTTCCTACCTAGTTGTGCTCAACAGTACTTACTGAGGTCATGATGGGACAGCATCTATTTAAATCCATTGCATTTTAGGTGCAGAAGAAGGGAAGGAAGAGGTTTGATTAACACTTAGTGACTTTTCACATAGGAATGTGGACTGAGAGACATCTGCATTATCAGTTCCAAGCCTGTATTATCACCAGGAACTATAGCACATAATTCTTCCATTGATTTGTTGAGCTCTATCTTAAAAAAACAGTTAGGTTTTTCAGTTTCTTGCTCCTCCCGCTCACTGCTTTGACAACTAGCAGCCTGCTTTCTCAATTCCCGTCTAAAAGTCATAGCAAGTTTGGTCCAATTTGTTTATTTGACAGTGACATCACTCAGCTGACACAGTACTTCTCCTTCAGTACTATTTACCATCCCAAAGGACTGTCTAGACAATAATATTATCCCCTTCCACCCTGTATTTTACCTCTTGTGAGCAAGTTAGATCTTCCATCTCTTCCCCAACCTAGCTATTTGCTTCCCTGCTCCAATCTGAATGCATCTTTCTTAAACACAGGTGACAAGCTAGATAATAAATTGCAGATGAACATCACATGCAGGACCTAAAAATATTTCTGTCTTTACTGAAAACCAAGATGAAGTATTAGTTTAGTTTGACAGTTATTGCTGGATTACCTCTGATGGCCACCCCACTCTATCTTACAGAAGATCACTTCTCTCTTTTTTTATTTATACAACCAAAGAACCTTTTGCTATTTGCTTTAATGATCTAACTCAGCTTGACTTTTGGCAATTACCACTTTAGTCCTGTAGTTCTGACTTCCAAAACACAGCTTTCTCTGCTGTCTGGTTCTTTCTTCCAGTTCCTTTTTGGCTGACTGCTTATTTTTATTATATTTCTTAAAGGTGTTTTTTCATCCCACAAGGCCTGGTGCCTCTTCCACATTAAAAATAAATTCTGACTCATATGTTAAATAAGGTGCTTAAGCACCACTAAAGGAAGAACATGCACAACAAAACAATTATATGTACTGAGGTATGTCTGCCTATTGTTCTTTAACAGATGATAATTTTATTTCCTGAAGTTATTTTTAAGTGCCTTATTTGATATCCTCAGAGTACTTATAAAGGCATTATAATGTGACATGCATTAATATGAATGATGTACAAAATTAAATTAAAACATTAATAAAAGATTGTTCTCTAAATCATGGCTTGTTTGTGAAAAAATTGCTGTGCTACAATGCACTGTAGGATATTTTGTTTGTTAGAGACAATCATTTTTATGAGCAAAATAAATCTAAGAAAGGTTTCCAGTTACATTAGTAAATGAGTCACTAATTGTTGGTCACATTCAACTGCTTGAATTAAAAAGCAGGAAAAAAAAAATCCCCGGCTTTATAAAAGACTGCAGATACACTTAGAACATAAAACACACATAATTGCTTGGTTTCAATAGTGGAAAAACTGAGGCAGAGAAATGTTCTCGAAATTACCAGCAGAGCACAGCACCTTGTTCTCCCACCCCGCAGTGCCACACAGGCAACAACAGCAAACCAGAAAAGGTGACCGATAACCTCAACTCCATTAAAAACTAAATAAAGCAGTGCCAGCTTCCCATTAGTGATGACAGCTAATGAAAGAAAAGAGGCTGTTCTTTCTTCACAGGCATCAATAATGTTTTGAACAACATCAAATTTTAACATGACACACGAGGTGCCAATCAAAAGAGAAGCAGGCTTTCCTTGTCCTCCAGCAGAAGGGCTGGGACTGAGCACCCTGAGAAATGCTCATGGCATTTGCTGCAGAATTTGCTTCCCACTCTGACATAGTTTGATTTCCATGACCTTAAGGATACAATTTTTACCCAAACACATAAAGTGCAGTTTAAAGGTAAAGTGGGGAGTGGCACTTATCTTCACATTCAAAGGAAAGTGTAATGGGAAGTACGCTGATTTTAAATCCACACAGAGTATATTTTTATCCCACAAAACAAGTATTTCCCTACTGCTTGGACTTTGCAAGACAGAACTGAAATATGTCTCATTTTCTTCAGGGGACAAAGCGAAAAATAATTGCAATATCAGCTTTACTCCTTCACGTTTCACTTTCAGGTCAAAAAGGTAGTTTTGTTTTAATCTACTTCATTTCACAGGCTAATGTCACCAAACACTTTCAGATCAAAGCTGATAACCTGTTCTACCCTGCCTAGAAAAATACGCTCCTCCCCTTACCTTTTTGCACTGGTTTTGAGCTCCAGATATTTAGAAGGCATTCCCAAAGACCGACTGCCTTAACTGCCTGGGAACTCACACTCTTGTAGCCAACTACCTACACCTTTTTAAAAGTCACCGGCTCAGATTCTGCCCTCATCCACAAAAAGACCTGTCAGACTTTTCTCGCCCACGAGTGGGAGGCTCCAGCCTTCAGATCAGGCACTTGCTACAGCGCAGACGCATCCCGGGGCAGCCGCAGGATTCTCAGCTGCGCTGGGAGCACAGCACGGCGACGCCAGCCTCCTCCTCCGTGCTCAGCGAGTACCGCGCGGGGTGTCGAGCACACTGCCCAAAATGAGATTTATACACATTAAAAGAGGAGCTATCTGCTGGGGTTTTTATTTGTCTGGATTTCGCTGAAACAGGTATGAATCAGCCATCACTTCTGAGATCAAACTTAGCACTAGAAAAAAGTTACAGGAAGACACAAGGAAGGGCAAGTGGGAAAGGGGATTGTTCTACTTTTTAATTAAGAATTTGGATGGCACAGCACTTTCAGACTGCTTCTTGAGAATGAAAAAGTTTTTTCTGATGATACAGCTCATTCCAATTTGCAAATGAGATCTTTTGAATGCTGTAATTTTAGTATGACTTTTTAAGAGCTTTTTGTTCTGATGATACTAAACATTAGTATTTTATAAGTGAAAAATGAAATATCATTTTACTTCACTGAAGCTTGTCATTATCATATTACAGTAAAGTGACATCCTAAAGCCAATAGAAGTTTTGCCATTGGTTTCAACGGGAGTAGATGTAGGGTCAAAAATCCAGGGGACTTGCCACAATAGTGAAAACACTTGCTCACATATTTGTTTCTTTCATAGAATTTAAGCTAGAGAAAATGAGCCTAAGCCTCAATTACTATCTTAAATGGCAAGACAAACTGCTTTCAAGCCTCATTCTACAACTCAGAAAAATACAGGGTCGCAAAAAAGCCATCATGAAACTTCTGTGTTTTGCCTAGGCTGAGTAATGGACAGTAAATACACCCACAACTAATCCACTATGGATCAATGCCCATCCATAATGGCAAACTTCTTAGTCAATTAAGAAATACACAGCCAAGATAACAGAGCTGAGTCTCAATATTAGCAGCAGAAGCTTATTATACCTTTGGCTGTAGAGATTTGAGTCTTCTTTCTCTTGGCATTGATCACCATCATATGAAAATATATTACAATGGATATTAGCCAGCTTAAAGATGAAGTACTAAAATATCCACTGTAAAGTTTATCCTTTGGGACAGAGACCAGATCCACCAAAGAAATACAGAGAACACTACCAGCTCTAAATTCCCTTTTTGCATTCATTCCTCTGGAGTCTACTCGTGCCTACCTATTTATTTAGAAACCAACTTTCTGTGAGAGGATTATAGCTGTACTGCACCTGGCTAATTCTGGAAAACGTTAGAATTGCAATTAAAATTAAGTATATGCTCAGGTGTCTTTCTAAATAGGAATGACTATAAGTGAATGTTCAGGAGACTACCTACATCAGGAACCTTGTTCATTCTCCTCAGAAGGCAGAGATTCCCCAAAGATTCCTCCATGAGCAAATTTTCTTTTAAATTTTGTCTACGAAAAACATTTTGCCATAGTACATTTTCTTCAGATCAACTGAAAGCAAAAGGATAGCTTGCTTTTTGATGTAATCAATTATTTACATTTCAT